ATATGTTATGCTACATGGCAAAGGTGATTAAGATTGCAAATGGAATTCAGATTGCTAATCAGCAAACCTTAAAATAAGGAGATTACCGTGGGTTATCAGGCGGGCCCGATGCAGTCACAAAGACCCTTTATAGTTGAAGGAGAGGAGAGGCAGAGAGAGAGATGTGACCATGGAAGAATGGCCAGAGAGATGCAATGTAGCTGGCTTTAAAGACAGAAGAGGAACTATGACCAAGGACTGTGGACCTCTAGAAACTGAAAAGGCAAGGAAATGAATCCATCCCTAGGGTCCCCAAAAGGCACAGCCATGCCAACACCTTGATTTTAGCCCATAAAACCAACATGTTAGAATGAATAAATGAATTCAGCAATATAGCAAGAATACAAAGTAAGCCACAAAAATCAATTGCATTTCTATACTGACAGTAAACAATCTGAAAAGAAATCTACAAAACAATTCCATTTACAATAGCATCAAAAAAGAATAAAATACTTAGGAATTAGGAACCAACATCAGAGGGCGCCTGGGTGGCTCAGTCGGTTAAGCGTCTGCCTTAGGCTCAGGTCATGATCCCAGAGTCCTGGGATCGAGCCCCACAACGGGCTCCCTGCTCTGCGGGAAGCCTGCTTCTCCCTCTCCACTCCCCCTGCTTGTGTTCCCCCTCTCTCTGTGTCTCTCTCTGTCAAATAAATAAATGTTAAAAAAAAAAACCAACATCAGATTTCTAACTTACAAAAGGGTAAGATAATAAAGTCATGTTGCGTTAAGTCACCAAGTTTGTGGTAATTAGTTACAGCAGGAAATAGAAACCTAATAGAGCATGTCATCCTTGAAAGCTGTTAACTATTCAGTGACTCCCATTTAACTTCCATTAATAAGAACTCTGTCACATGATGACTCCTAGTTACAAGAGAGGTTGGAAAATGTAGAGGCTTTCCTTTTGTTTGTTTTATTCCAAATAAAATTGAGGTTTGGTTAGTAAAACAGAATGGGAAAAGGAATATTAGGTCAGGCTTTGATCAGAGAAGAGAGAACACTATGAATTATGTAGAAAAAAAGATGTATCATTGGGGCTAGAACTTACATAGCTGTGGTAGCAGGTGGAACAGCCCATATGAGCTTCTAGTATTGAGATTTAAGTCAGCCAGACTGGATGCGAGGAAAAATAAAGTGGATGAGATGAGAACAGGAATAAACTGGAACCAGCAAGGATGACCTGGGACTTGTAAGGATGACTAGAACCTGTGTATGTTTCTCATACCGCCAACCTCAATGCCCTGGGGGACCTATAAGAGAAGCTGGCCCCTTTATCACAGAGCTGCATGTGCGCTTGGCCCAGGACTCACAGACGCTGAAGGAGGGAGCTGCAGGATCAGCGTTATGGCTCCACACCAATATGGGATGTGTTTCCATTTGTATCTTCTTTAATTTCTTTCAGCAGTGTTTTGCAGTTTTGATTGTACAAGTCTTTCACCTCCTTGACTAAGTTAATTCCTAAGTATTTTATTCTTTTTTGATGCTATTGTAAATGGAATTGTTTTGTAGATTTCTTTTCAGATTGTTTACTGTCAGTATAGAAATGCAATTGATTCTTGTGGCTTACTTTGTATTCTTGCTATATTGCTGAATTCATTTATTCGTTCTAACAGGTTTGTGTGTGTGTGTGTGTGTGTGTATAATCTTTAGAATCTTCTACATGTAAGATCATGTCATCTGTGAATAGAGATTATTTTACTTCTTCCTTCCCAATTTGGGTGCCTTTTATTTCTCTTTCTTGCTTAATTGCTCAGGCTAGAACTTGTAGTACTATGTGGAATAGAGTGGTAAAAACAAGCATCCTTGCTTTGTTCCTGATCTTAGAGAAAGCTTTGTCTTTCATCATTGAGTACACTGTTTGCTGTGGGTTTTTCATTAATGGCTTTTATTACGTTGAATGTTTTTATCGTGAAAGGGTGTTGAATTTTGTCAAATGCTTTTTCTGAATCAATTAAAGTGATCATGTGGGTTTTTTCCTTCATTCTGTTAATGTGGTATATTACAGTGATCAATTTCCATATGTTGAACCCTCTTTGCATTCCAGGGTAATTCTTGCTTGGTATTGGTGTGTAATCAACTTTATATGCTGCTGAATTTGGTTTCCTAGTACCATTGACCCTTGAACAGCATGGGGTTAGGAGTGCTAATCCCTCACATAGTAAAAAATCTGCATATATTTGGACTCCCCCAAAACTTAGCTACTAATAGCCTACTGTTGACCAAAAGCCTTACTAATAGCATAAAGAGTTGATTAACATATACTTTGTATGTCATATGTATTATATATCAGGTGTATATGTATTACTAGTACATGTATAACATACACTACATGTATAAGTTAATATGTGTTTTAAATAAATGTATTATAAAAAAGCCATATAGTACGTAATATGTACCATAAATAAGCTAGAGAAAAGAAGATGTTATCAAGAAAATCGTAAGTGAAAATATCTTTACAGTACTGTACCGTATTTATTGAAAAAAAATCCACATATAAGTGGACCCATGAAGTTCAAACCCATTTGTTCAAGGGTCAACTATGTATATCCAGTCTAAAGACAACAAGAACTGCAAATAAAACTTGTCTATTGAGTAGGTTTTTCACAGTTGTGTGGGTTAGTATATTTGACCTCACTTTCTATGCATGATAGGACTGAGCAAACGAGTAAATGTATTGATGTTGTTTCTTACTTTTGGAAAAGAAAATTACAAATGTGGAAATGGGGAAGATTAGAACAACCCCTGTGATGTATTGAATTGAGATTATCAGTATAAATTATAAATTGATTTTTTGTAACTAGGTAATAGACATAGGTACAGCATCTATAAGCAGAGAAATAAATATGGGATCTTGCTATCTATATCTATAACCATATATTTCCTAGCTCTGTCCACTGAAAGGATTATAAACAGTGGTGCTTTGTTAGCAATGAGCACACTTAGAAACCATACGGGTATCTTTCGGTCTCGTAGATCGTGAACTCCATGAAGACAGGGACTGACTTAGGCACAACTTTACCTTTCAGCCTTAATTTGGATTCTGTGCATACAAGAATCTATAAAATTAAACTGTTCATAGGCACTCAGCTGGTAAATTTCAGGGCCAGATTATAATTACCTGAAAACCAGCCTTCTCTGTCGAGCCTAAGCTGGTGAGAACCTATCGTCTAATGCTGTCACCAGCCCTGTCTCTGCTAACAGGTACAAATCAGCAGCAGTGATTGCCAGCATCATCAGACACTCCTACCCCGTCTCCCTCCTGTCCCACCCAAGGGGTTGGTGGGCTGGATCTATCCCAGCCTCCAGACGGGGTGTAGCACACCTCAAGCCCCACACTTTCCAACAGCCGCGGCATGAACAGTACCTTCTCAACATCTTGTTCCTGCCGGTGGTCATCCTGGGCAATGTGCGGCTCCGTGGGAAGCTACTGAGTGTGGTGGTCAGCTGGCTGTGTGGGGCCAGGAAACAGAAGAAGACCTGATGCCAAGTGTAGCCTTAGGAGACAAAGTATGGGGGGGGGGGTTACCATTTCTTATGAAATTCCCAGCGATTCTGGCAATTCCTGTCCCCCACATCATATCCACTTGCTGATTTTGTTGCAAATTCCTGCTCATTGGCTTCTTCCTAGAATTGGAATTCTTTATTCAGCCCTTATGGCCTTCTTTATGTGCCAGTCAGCAAGGGTTGTTCTGTGATTTTGTCCCAGGGTAATTTGGAACAGTGGCCTTCATATTTTAAGCCCTGAGGCCACTTTCCTCGTCACGCCTCTCTTCGAAGCACTGAGCCTGAACCATTCCAGCCTCCACGTCCAGTATCTTCTCAGCCTCTTTCCCTCTCTCCTGCCTCTACCACTTGGAATCACACCTAAAATGGGTATTTGCCTTTCTGTAAACTCTTGTCAAAGCTCAGAAAGCTATATAATATAGCTTTCAAAGAAATATAGCTCTTTGATCAGGAAAGTAAAAGTTTTCACAGAATTATCCTCCCCTGCCCCTTGGAAAAGAGAATTCTGTTACCTGTGACAGGCTGTAAGGGAAGCTGCACTGAAAACCTTTACAAGAGATTTGCTTTGGGGATAGAGAATGTAAAGATGCCTTCTGGGGTTTCCATGCCCTGTCCTTGCCAGGGCTGACATTACAAAGAGGCAGAATTACAAGATGTCTTCAGTTTGGTGCCTGAGGAGACTGTGGTAAGGTTCCCAGTCCTATTTTATAATTCTCATTCAGAATTATAATCTCAGCTTTAGAGGTTCAAACCTCCAGGTAAAGACTTGGACTTCTGGAGTTAGGACTCTAGCACCTCTTCATGAATGAATGACCTCCTTAAGAGGTCTTCAGAACACAATCCAGGAATGGAGGTCGACTTCTCTTGGGGGTTTTCTTCTAGAGAGTAGACACAAGCTACTCCCAGGGAGTAGACACTACTTCCAGGGAGTAGCGTCTCAGAGATTTTAAGCAAATATCTAGGGAAATGGAGTATGCGGGTGACAGTATGAGGTCACCAGAGCAGTTAGGAGGTGGGAAAATTCGTGGAAGGGTCCCTAAAATGGGGATGGGTGCGGGTCACCTGGAGGTGGAACTATCTTGGAAGCAAATTCCTGAGGTCCCCGCATTCCTGGTTCAGAGTACCTTCTCTGCGGAGAGTGTGGCGATTCCGCGGACAGAGAGGGGTTAAGGAGAGCTCACTAACCCCTCCTTCCCGATGTCCGGGGTTAGGAAGGGTGAGGACAAATTAGCCAGTGGAGCAAGCACCCTGGGTGGTGGAGCAGAAGGGCAAGAAACCGCAAACGGAAGAGAACACAGGCGGGGTCCATCTCTCACGTCTTCCCAATCTGCCCGCCAGAGCATTTCCTTGGCTCCGAGCGGAGCGTGTCCCCAGGGCGCACAGGTCGCTGCGCTGTGCGAGGCGCGGGGCGCAGGGCTCAGCGCACTGGGCTGGGCTCCCCGGCTCACAGCAGAGCGAGCATGGCGGGGCAGCGGGCGCTACTGCTCGCTGGCTTCCTTCTGCCTGGGTTCCTGCTCTCGGAGGCCGCCAAAATTCTAACTCTGTCTTTGGTGGGTGAGTGCTTGGCGGGAGAATCAGGCGCGTCCCAGACACCCGCGGGAAGGCTCAGTCAAATAGCTCTGGGTAGAGGGTCACTCCAGGTGGTTTTCCAGACTGGGCTTGGGTCCCAGGCTAGAGGGGGAAGAGGCAGGAGGGGGTTGTGGGGCAATGAGGGGCCCCTACCACCGAGAGGTGAAGAAACTTCCTGAGAAAATAGAATACTTTTTCCTCGCTCTTCCTACTCAGATTTGCTCTCCTAGGCGCGGGAAATGGGTCCAGAAGTTTGCGATCCCTCTCAGTGCTGGAGACCCGGGGCTGCCTCCTCCAGGGAGCGGGCTGCAAATTCAGAGGCTCCCCCTAAACTTCTGGGTGGCGCGCAGCCATTGCCAATAGAGACTGTAGGAGCTTGTGCAGGCTCTTGGAGGCCAGGGAAAGGAGCTTATGGGGGGCAGAAGCACTAATTTTCTGACACTGCATGGGAGCCACAGTGGAGCAGGGAAGGTATTTCAATGACACCTAGGAGGGTGGAGTGCTATCCATCCCGAGGAAACTTGGAGAACTGGCCAGGCCTGGGGACTGGACCTTGGACATTCGGGTCTCGCCAATGCCCGCTCCTTTCACCAGTGCTGCTGGAAGTGTTTGAAGGATTCGGGAGACTGTTAATTCTGCATTTTGTGGCCCCAGTTTTACTTCCTTTACTTTTGCACCAAAGGGAATAGAAGATGAAAAGGAAAAGAGATAAAGGGAAAAGGATCAGGATAAGGGGTCATCATAAGATAAAGGGACAAGGATCAGGATAAAGGGTTATCATAAGATGGAGCTTTCCCAAGATTGTATTTCCATCCACAGTGGGCTCTTTTACGTAACTGTGTATAGATCACTGGGAATCGGGGAAATCTTAGAGCTGGAAAGAACCATAAATAATCGCATTTAGCCCCCACAGTGTTTTCCTGAACAGGAAACTAAGGGTCAGGACATCAGGCACCTTTTGTCAGAGCACACCAGGCCTCCCTAATGGTACACATCAGGAATTTAGTTGGGGTTTCTTATCCCAAGACCAGCCTGTCCACAGCTTCCAGTCTCGCGCACTTTTCAGTGGGTTTAAAAAAAACAAACAAACAAAAAAAACAACTCTTTAAGAAACCCTATAACTCCTTTTGAACTCTTTTTTTTGTCGCGTTTTGATTGTTAATACTGGCGATACCAAAGAGCTCCCTCACCTCTTCAAAGCGTGTGTCCTCTGGACTCTGAGAGGGAACGGGTGTGGTTTGGAGGCGTTGGAAGCCCCACCTCTGGCCCAGAATGTACCGGGCTCACCAAGACCCTCAGGAAAGGCCGCGCGTGCGGGCTGGCTTCTCCCGCGTATCCTTTTCTTCCAAGGGTTAAATGTGAAGCCAGAACAGGGAGCCTGAGGGAGTAGGAGTTTGTGTTTTATATAATCCGTGTTACCTCAGGCAACACAAGCACAGATTTTAAAAACTAGGGTAATTTCCGGTAATTTCCACAGATACACACCTTTGCAGTAGTCCGACATCCCTCTCTGCTGACCCAGTCATGCCGGGACTTGCATCTTCCAAACAGCTCCCACTTCCCAACTTGGGCAAATTCTATTCCTTCCCTCCTGGTCTGACTTTCTCTGCTACTGAGACTCATAGATTCAACCAAATGTCCCATGATTCATATGGTTTTGGATAAGATTTAGTGTGATAGAACCTGTACCTCCCCAGATGATCAAGCTTCTGTTTCCTTAGGATCCCAGGATTTTCCTAGGATGGGTGATGCCCCAGTCTCTCATGCACACAGGATCCTGTAATTCCACCTCAAGGGCCCACAGTTATTCGGAATGCCTTAATTTGATGTTCAGCAAAATTCAGGCCCCAACTGAGAAACATCCTGCCAAGTATATATGAATCTCAAGGATTTTGGCTCTGAGTGGTGGCTCAGCTTCATTCTGGTCCAATGGCTCTTTCTTGGACTGATATTCAAGTTCGCATGTTTCTGCCTCCTACACTAGCATAGATTTCCAAAGAGTAAGATTCCAGAACAAACTCTGACTAATTGTCCATTGGGAATCCTTCACGCTCATATAGAGCCCTGTGCCACACTTTACACAAGTACAGTTATTTCTTTAGAGCACAGTATCTCCATAAGACCTGGCTAAAATTAGCATATACTTAGGATCAGGAATTCCTTAAGGCATAAGCAGAGAAGCTCGTCACACTGATGTTTGGTCATTTTTGTGACTGGAGTCACAATGAGGATCTGATGGGGGTTTGCCAAAGTCAAGATTTGGGCCACTGGGCCCTGGGTGAGTGGCTGGGGCTTACCCAAATGGAGATGAAGCTCATCTTCCTCTACTCACCATCAGCTTTCTGTCGGCTAATTCTCATCTCCTGGATCTCTTAACCTATCAGCTTTAGGCATTTTATTATCCTCATTTCAAAAGTGAAGTTGTACATTGTTCCTAGGTGGAAGCCATCATCTACTGCTGGACCGGGTGTCTCAAATTCTTCAAGATCATGGTCATAATGTCACTATGCTTCACCAGAGAGGAAATTCATTAATATCAGGTATCTTTTCTCACCATTTTTTTTATTTCTTCTACTCTATGCAAAGTGTAGAGTAAAACAATACCTTTTGCTTAGAAAACTGTTTTTAAAATCTAATTGGACTGAAAGAATGAAAAGTGTGTGTGTGTGTTTGTGTGTGTCTGTGTTTGCGTGTGTGTTAATGTAAGGTGTTGGAAAACTTCTTGGCTCTATCTCCCAGCACTCCACACTCTGTAGTCCCATATTTTCCCCCCTTACCTTGCCTTCCACTTCATCCCAAGCAACCCTCCATATATTGCAGATTATTTTGGTAAATGGTACTTCATAACAGCTTGAAAGCATGTGAACAGAGTGTTCAGCCAAACATGCCATTTTCTTTTCTTATATCACAGATTCCTTTTTTTAATATCATACATCACTTTCTCCTTGTATGGTATCTGAAATCTAAGAAAACTTTCTTTAGAAATCCCTTATTTATCCACCTAAGATCAGAATCTATCACTGAGATGATTTTGTTTTCTAGAAAAATCAATGCCTGGTCAACAGTTTGTGTATAATGATGTTGGACGTTCTTAAATGAATCATTGAATCCAATGAATTTTAGCTAAAATGAGCAAATCTTATCAACTCTTTTCTGTTGAAAGACAAGAAAACAGCAGCCCAGAGAACTGAAATGGTTTGCTTAAGGTGATATGGCAGGTTAATAATAGTGTTGGGTGGATTTAGGACTTTAAGCTCTGGATTGCTCAATCTGAAGTTTTCTCAGGCTTTGATTTAAAAAAAGATGCAGTTTTAAGCAGCATCTTCAGGGAATAAAATTCTGAAAAATTATAAAACTTTGAAGGTGATCAGGCTTTGTTGTTGTTCAGATTTTGTTAAAACAATTTTTTCTGTGAAAATTTCTTTCAAGATTTTTATTGTGGTAAAATATACACAGCATAAAATTGACCTCTTAAACATTTGATTTTTAAGTTTAGTGACTTTAAGTACATTCATATTGTTATGCAACCATCACTGCTGTTGCTCTCTAGAACATTTCCCTCATCACAAATGAGAACTCTGTACTGATTATATGGTAACTGCCAACTACCCCTTGTGGGCAGCCCTTGGTAACCATTATTCTACTTTATTTCTCAATAATTTGGCTATTCTAGATATCTCATTTAAGTAGAAACATACAATATTTGTCTTTTTGTGTCTGGCTTGTTTCACGTTGCATAATGTCTTCAAGGCTCATCCATGCTGTAGTATGGATCACAATTCCCATCCCTTTTTAAGACTGTATAATGTTCCATTGTAAGTATATACCACATTTTGTTAATCCAGACATCTGTCGATGGACATTTGGGTTGTTTCCACCTTTTGGATATTTTGAATGATGCTGCTATGAAAACTGGTGTACCAATATCTATTTGAGTCCCTACTTAAAATCATTTAAATCACCTTCTAGATTAGGTTCTGCATTCATCACTGAACGTTATTTATATACATATCTTTTTGCATCTGTGTTGACCACAGACATGATTAAATAGCTGTAGTGTATTATTTTCAAGGTAGTTATTCTTAATTTTGAAAATTGCAATTAAATTTAATTAAAAATTTTAATGAAATTAAGTTAAATTAAAATTTTAGATTGATTAAAAAATAATTCTGGTAGTTTCCATGAATTTTGAGAAACTAATAAAAGCTTCAGACCTTCTACCCCTTTAATAAATATATGTACACAAAAATCTATAAACAATTTGGGGAGTTCATGGATCCCTTCAGTTTTTTTTTTTAAATTAATTTCAGAGGTAGAATTTAGTGATTCATCAGTTGCATATAACACCCAGTGCTCATTATATCAAGTGCCCTCCTTAATGCCTATCACCCAGTTACCCCATGCCCCCCCCACCTCCCCTCCAGCAACCCTCAGTTTGTTTCCTAGAGTTAAGAGTCTCTTATGGTTTGTCTCCCTCTCTGATTTTGTCTTGTTTTATTTTCTCCTCTCTTCCCCTATGATCCTCTGTTTTGTCTCTTAAATTCCACATATGAGTGAATTCATATGGTATTTGTCTTTCTCTGACTGACTTATTTCACTTTGCATAATACCCTCTAGTTCCATCCATGTCGTTGCAAATGGCAAGATTTCCTTTTTTTGATGGCTGAATAGTATTCAATTGTGTGTATATACCACATCTTCTTTATCCATTCATCTGTCGATGGACATCTGGACTCTTTCCATATTTTGGCTATTGTGGATATTGCTGCTATAAACATTGGGGTGCAGGTGCCCCTTCGAATCACTATGTTTGTATCCTTTGGATAAATTCCCAGTAGTGCAATTGCTGGATCGTATGGTAGCTCTATTTTCAACTTTTTGAAGAACCTCCATCCTGTTTTCCAGAGTGGCTGCACCAGCTTGCATTCCCACCAACAGTGTGGGAGGGTTCCCCTTTCTCCGCATCCTCACCAACATCTGTCTGTTTCCTAAGTTGTTATTTTAGCCATTCTGACTGGTGTGAGGTGGTATCTCATTGTGGTTTTGATTTGTATTTCCCTGATGTCGAGTGATGTCGAGCATTTTTTCATGTGTCTGTTGGCCATTTTTATGTCTTCTTTTGGATCCCTTCAGTTTTATCCTTAGTTTCCAGGTTTAAAAGTCTAGAGTTTCTTCCAATATTCCCCAATCACAGGTATTTCTGAGGCTTTGAAACAGCGTATTAATTCTTTACCTTAGGAATAGAGCTTGACTAGATGTCTGCAAATGGGGAAAACACATGATTGAGTTATTATTTCTGGCCTGATGCCCATTTCAGTGCATTGTAACATTTGAACCATTTATTAACTCCTTGTTTGGACACACTTCCCCATCTTGTTCATTTATTTACTACTTTAATAAAGAAATGATATCAGATTGAAGAAGCAAAGATTTTCAATATTCACATACACTACTGCTCCAACCAATATCTGGCATTATAATTGGGTTATTGATAGAGGTTGGAAAAATATTAAGAAGCATGATAGAGTAAGTCTAGATAGTCTTGAAGAGACTATTGGTAGAAATGTGGATGTTAGGAACTCTGTTGCAATATATAAAAATATCAAATCATTATGTTTTACACCTGGAGCTAATGTAATGTTACATGTCATTTGTGTCTTAATAAAAAATATAAGAACTCTGCTAATGAGGACTAAGAAGGAAGTAAGGAGCATGGTAGAGAAAATCTGTGTTGTCTGAGACAATATGTAAATCATCATAAACACACTTCTGGTAAAAATACAGATGGTAAGGATTTCTTGCTTCTTATAGTAAAATGTGAGAGGAAAGAGATAAATTGAAGGAAGAACCATTAAGCATAAAGAAATGAAGACTTCATGATTTGGGAAATTCTCAGCCTATCCAGATTGCAAAAGAGTCTAAAATTAGGGGATTTGCTGCCAGCAAAGAGAAAACCAGTGGTGTGTCTGGATAACCTCTTGCTGTTGCCTCTGAATAGATCAGAATATTCAGTCTCACAGAGCTCTTTAAATATTGTGTGTGTGAATCATGAGTACCCTCAGCCCTGTTGGCTGAAGCCAAAAGTAGAGGTGAAATTCTTTTTAAAGATTTGTGTAGCAGCTCTTGTCTAGCAGAGTGAATTCCCATGATATACCCAGAAGATCCATAAGGTACTTGCGAATTTTATACAGGATAAATACTGCCAATTTGGACAGAGAAAGAGTGACATGAAAGAAGGTCACTGAACTCAGAAACACACTCGTAAACTATTTAGCTGAGAACTTATGCTACCTTTCATGAAGAACAAATGAAAAGTCTGAGTGTGAAGCAGTGAGTACAAAGGGTAGAACTTCAAGCTTACAGTGCTGAGCTTCAAGTCACAGCAGGTTATTTCCAGTTTTTAAAACCTAACATGGTCTGCCCAGTTGGATGTCAACATTTCTTAGGACCAGAAATTCATATTTTCCTTCCATTTTGTTCCACTTTGAATGATAATATCTGTAACTGGTATCTTAATGTTTCTTGGAAGCAGATAAACTTATTTCCTAATTTTCATAGGTCCACAGATGGATCGTATCAAGATTGTCACACCCATACTTTATTGAATTATTTGGATAATATAATTTGGGACATTCAAGCTAATGACATTAAGATGAAATTTTGAACTATGAATTAGTGATGTGATGGTTTGAGACTTGTGGGAATGTTGGGATGGAGTGATTATATTTTGTATGTGATATGGACATGAGTGTTTGAGGTCCAGAAAGCAGAACATGGTGGTAGAAGATAATGTCCCCACCCAAAGATATGCTCTAATCTTTAGAACCAATGAATATACTGCCTTACATGGCAAAGGAACTTTGCAGATGTGATAAACATAAGGATTTTGAGATGGGAATATTGTCTTGGATTATCCATTTGGGCTCTATATAGTTCCAAGAGTCCTTCTAAAAAAAAAGAGATGATTGGGGAGGTGGGAGGGATATGGGGTAACTGGGTGATGAACATTAAGGAGGGCACTTGATGTAATGAGCACTGGGTGTTATATGCAACTGATGAATCACTAAACTCTGCCTCTGAAACTAATAATACACTATATGTTAATTAACCGATTTAAAAAAAAGAGAGATGACAGGAGAGTAAAAGAAGGAAATGTGATAATGGAAGGAAAGTCAGATGATGGATGATGTCATTGTCAGTCAAAAGGAGGCCATGAGCCAAGGAATGAAGACAATCACTAAAAGATGGAAAAGGCAAGAGAATGTCTTTCAGAGGCTCCAAAAGGAATGCTGGCCTGCCCACAACTTGCTCTTGTCCTAGTGAGACCCATTTTGGACTTCTGATCTCCAGAATTATAAGATAATAAATTTGTAATAAGTTTATAGTCATTTACTACAGTAGAGATTGGAGACTAATACTGCTATCAACAGGTGGTCTAGAGAACTCCAGGAAGCATGGGAAGAGGTTGCTGAAGCCTTTATAATGAATGCAAATGTGGGGGGCACTAATGACAGTGCGTATTGTATTGTAGTTTGGACAGATTTTAGATCTTTTTGTTATTTGGCCTTATTCAAAGTGGGCTGATTTTCAAAAATAAGTATAAATGGATTTAAGGAAAATGTATAAATCAGAAATATATTGCCTCCAGATTGCAAAAAGGCTTAAAAGTTTTTGGACTTCATGAGATATTGTGGTGTTATGAATCAATATTTGTTTCTTTTTTTTTTTTTTTTAAAGATTTTATTTATTTATTTGACAGAGAGAGAGACAGTGAGAGAGGGAACACAAGCAGGGGGAGTGGGAGAGGGAGAAGCAGGCTTCCTGCCGAGCAAGGAGCCCGATGCGGGGCTCGATCCCAGGACCCTGGGATCATGACCTGAGCCGAAGGCAGACGCTTAACCGACTGAGCCACCCAGGCGCCCCTCTTTTTTTTTTTTTTAATAAAGATTTGGTTCATTTATTTGAGAGAGAGAGAGAGAGATAACATACAAGCAGTGGGAGGGGCAGAGGGAGAGGGAGAAGAAGAAGCAGACTCTTCACTCAAAGGGGATCCCAACTTGGGGCTCGATTCCCAGGGCCCTGAGATTGACCTGAGCCAGAGTCAGATGCTTAACCGACTGAGCCCCCCAGGTGGCCCAGTAGTTGTTTCTTGATAGTGTCATGGATAGAGAGGCCTTAAATGATCAAATAATTCCTAGGAATTTAACCGATGTCCTAGGCCTTGAGCTTTGTGTGGGGCAATGGCACATCCCTTTCTGTGCACTCCTGTGGGAATGTTTCTCTGTCCTGAATAAGTATGTCAAATGAATCTCCTTAGAGTGGGATATTTTCAATATAATGTCCTACCTGGGCTCCTGGTGAAAGTTGGATATGGTTAAGATTTTGCCAATAAAATTGTGGCCAATGGTAGGATGTTGAAATACCCCATGGATAACTAGTTAAAGGTGCACTGTGTCCTTTCCAAAGTGAAGGCAAACTGATGTTGAGAGTCTGTTGACATAGGTACTGAAGAGCCTACTAGCCAAATCTATGATTGCAAAGTATTTGCCAGAACATACTTGGATAGCAGTACTTTCACTAGGATTGGGCTTGGTAGTTTCAATGTGTAAGACTGTGCATTAATCTATCCCCAGTTTACACACATTTGATTGGATGTTATGACTGATGAAAGCATACATGTATAAGAGAGTATGGAATATTTATTACTCAAATAATAAGGCTTATTATTATTATTATTTTTTTAAGAAGAGTAGGAAAGGCTCCTAAGTCAATCTGAAAAATGGCTTTCCAGAGGAGGGAGGGATGACTAGTTTGAGTTTTCATTGTGGGTAGAGAGTTGAGATGTGTTGAGGGTTCCCTCTTATTGGTCTTTACTTGCATGGTTTGAAACTTCCACTATGGCCAAGGGTAGGAGCATGTTGACTTTCTTAATAGTTTGCCCAGGTGAAACACTGAAGAGAGAGTGGGAGATAGGGCTTGAAAACTGTCAGGAGTCAAACATCATAAATGGACTCAGGCTTTTCATTACACATGGATATGTGGGAAAAGTCATGCTGGTAAGTAGAGGTACAGAGGTCTACTATTTTATGTAAGCTTCTTAGTACTTTTTTGTACTTTTTACTGAATCAAAAAACGATTTGGATTTATCACTCTAAATAATGAAAATGAGCTTTTCTAAAACAGAAAGAGCAGAGGCTCTGGAATCAAACAGACTTTATCACTTCCTATGTGTGCAATTTTCACCAATTATCCTAATTTGCTTAAGGTAATTACCTTTGTATCTTCAATTACCTTTGTTTTCTCATCTGTAAAATGAGACAAATAGCTATACCTTATGGAAGCTTTAAAAATTTTTTTTTAAAGATTTTATTTATTTATTTGCGAGAGAGTGTGAGAGAGAAAGCACAAGCACGGGGGAGGGGTAGAGGGAGAGGGCGAAGAAGGCTCCCTGTTGAGCAGGGATCCAGATGTGGGGCTCGATCCCAGGAAGCTTCCAGGGCGCCTGGGTGGCTCAGTCAGTTAAGCATATGACTCTTGATTTCGCCTCAGGTCATGATCTCAGGGTCCTGAGATTGAGCCCCTCATCGGCCTCTGCACGCAGCAGAGTCTGCTTGAAATTCTCTTCCTCGCTCTCTCTCTCCCTCTGCCCCTTCCCTCACTCACATGTGCTCTCTCTCTCTCAAATAAATAAATATTAAAAAAATAAATGGAAGCTTCCATAACTTTAAATTGAGAAGCACTCCTTAATCAGTGTAAGGTTCTCAATACATGTTATCATTTTATAAGATTGAATGAATGAGAATGCAACCAAACCATATAAAAATAGTTCAAAAGGCAAACATTCAAATAAATATAAAATTATTTGAACAAACAAATATTGATCTTATCACACTAATGTTAATCCATGTTTTGTGACATACTTAACATTTTTAACCCATGGGTGTTTTTTAGATTTTAAAGAGAAGGAAAAATCATACCAAGTTATTTCTTGGCTTCCACCTGAAGATTATAACAAAAGATTGAAGGAGAATTTTGATTTTCTTATGGGAGAAGCTTTGAGTGACAGGTAATTGTTATTTTTAATTATTTGAACCAAAGAGTCAATTTTAGTGATACAAATGAATGGATGGATGGATGGATGTTTGGACTGAAGATATAAGAAAGGGATGGATGGATGGGTGGGTAGATGAAGGGATACATGATGAGTGGATGGTTGGGGAAACAAGTATTCACACCAAATTATCCAATTCAGTCACTGGAGATTCTTCTTTGCTCTGCACTGTCCCTGTTCCATGAATGGATTTCTGTAGAAAGTAGAGGCTGTTCCTTCTGGGACATCCTTTCAACACTTCTCTTACATCTTTGCTTATAACCTCCCCAACACAGAAGTATAGGTACCTCAACCTATCACTGTTGGTAGGGAAATGAAAGTGACCTTCTTCCACTTATTTTTCCTTCTTTTCTTCACATATATTCCATTCATGGTGGGGGAGACTTATGAACATTGATTTTGTAGTAGTTGAACATCTGGTCATGTAAAGTCCTTTAAAAAAAATTTATATGCTGGGGCAACCCAGAGAGAGAGAGAAAGAGGGAGAGAGAGAGAGAGAGAGGGAGTGAGCAGGAGTGGGGGGAGGGGCAAAGTAAGAGCCAGAGAGAGAGAGAGGGAGAGGGAGAGAATCTCAAGCAGACTCCCTGCTGAGCATGGAGCCCGATGGAGGGCTCAATCTCACAACCCTGAGACCATGACTTGAGCTGAAATCAAGAGTTGGATGCTTTACCGACTGAGCCACCCAGGCACCTGGCCATATAAAGTCCTTGTAAAAAGCCATCTGTCTTATGCAAAATAAGACATGACTCCTTTTGCCTTATCTGAATGGAAAGGAACACATAACTCCTTCGTCTTAGACATAAATGGGGAAAGACAAAAATCCATGCCTATTTTGAATAATTACAGTGGCCTTGCCTTCTTTTTACCTTGAAAATTTTACTTACTAGTCAAGATCTTGCTTACATTTACTTTTTTTCAGAAAGTCTTTTTCCTTAAACTGGGAAGCCACAGTCCCTCCTGTCTAGGTCTGATGTAACCTATTCATTTGATACTTAGTCTATATTATCTTGCACTGTTAGTTATATATTTTAAATACATGCCTTGTCTCTTCTCCCTTAATGTAATATTTTTGGAGACAGGCATAGGTGACCATGCATTCTTAAACATTTTCTTCTGTTTGTTAGCTTAATTTTAAATATGATTAATGCAATATATCCTAGGAATTTTTACAACACTACTGAAATTACCTAAAATATCTGACAATCACGCTCCTTTGTTACATGAAATCTTCAAAAATACACAGCCAAGAATGATTTTTGCCAATTACTTCCATTGTATGACTTGAAGTTGTTCCTAAATATCAGGCAGAGATCTGTATATTGTTAATAAGTTCTTCGCTTCTGGTCCTTCTCTATCTGGGGTGCAATGGTACAGTAGTGTACAATTACAGGGTGCCAGGGTATTGATTCTCTTGGTCCTCCATGTAGCCAGCAGGCCACTGATGTCTTGAGCTTTTGCACTTGTTACCTCTGATACCTTAAAGTGCAGGTGGACATTCTTATCTATTTCCCCATAGGTGTACAAACAGGAAGGAAAGAGTCATATTCTATATAGGCAGTGATGGGAGAGCCTTGTAAGGAGATAGGTCCCTGGAATATTCCCATGGGCAAAGTCTTAATTACATGTTAGTACTCTTTATCACTATCTTCTCTGGACATATCAATCTGCATTGAAGTAAAAAAGCTGATAATATGTTTATTATTAACCAGGCCTTGCTTGGCTTTGCTTTTCCTTTCTCTATTTTCTCTTCTTTTCTCTTCTTTTCTCTTCTTTTCTCTTCTCTTCTCTTCTCTTCTCTTCTCTTCTTTCTCTTCTCTTCTCTTCTCTTCTCTTCTCTTCTCTTCTCTTCTCTTCTCTTCTCTTCTCTCTCTTCCCTCTCTTCTCTTCTTTTTCTTTCATTGCCAAACTTGTGGGCATAGAAAGGTGAAATTCCCATCTTAGCTGAGGTTTGAGTTCTAATGTGATAAAATAGTCCCTTGGGTGAGGTGATCTATCACATTAGAATACACAGTGATTTTTTTTTCAGATGTAGTATTCTATAATTTATCAGTTGCGTATAACACCCAGTGCTCATCACATCACATGCCCTAGAATACAGTGATTTTTAAAAATAGCCTATATGATCAATATTTATGGAACTGTGTCATCAAGTGACTTCCACAGTTTGGCTGAGTAAACAAGAAAATCACTCATAAAAAGTCAGTGTGTAAAAGAAATGGTAATGAGAACATTACAGAATTTATCAAGTAGAAAGAGTTCTATGAGGGCGCCTGGGTGGCTCAGTCGTTAAGCATCTGCCTTCGGCTCAGGTCATGATCCCGGGGTCCTGGGATTGAGTCCCACATTGGGCTCCCTGCTCGGCAGGAAGCCTGCTTCTCCCTCTCCCACTCCCCCTGCTTGTGTTCCTAATCTCGCTGTCTCTCTCTCTGTCAAATAAATAAAATCTTTAAAAAAAAAAAAAAAGAAAGAAAGAAAGAAAGAAAGAAAGAAAGAAAGAAAGAAAGAAAGAAAGAGTTCTATGAGATTTGCTATGGTCAGAGAAGGTTCCCAGAGCAGAAGGTCCAACAGTGACAATTTGTTTTCAGTTAACATAATTCAGTTGTGCTTGTGGATTTCAAGAATTAAGAACTCAAAGTCATAGTTTTTTGAATAAAGTGGCATAGAGAGTGCTTGGGATTTGGATGAGAGAAGGAAGAGGAGGGGAGGAAGGGAACACTCTCCAGAGCAGAGCATGTTCTCAGAGTAACTGAGATGAGGGTATTTATGGACAGTGGTAGAATAGGTGCACTGCTGCTAGATGTGGTCTTGCTCACCTGCGGTATTTTCTTTGTAGACCAAGGTTCCTTTATGTATTGTGAAATTAACAACTCCAGTGAATATTCACCATTCTTCTTTTCTTTCTTACAGATACACATTTGGAAAGTTTTTAAGCTTTATGGAGCAACTGGGGCTTCAGTGCAGTCATTTTCTAAGGAGAAAGGATATCATGGACACCTTAAAGAATGAGAACTTTGACCTAGTGATAGTTGAAAATTTTGACTACTGTCCTTTCCTGGTTGCCGAGAAGCTTGGAAAACCATTTGTGTCCATTCTCTCTTCCTCGTTTGGCACTATAGATATTGGACTGCCAAACCCCTTGTCTTATGTGCCAGTATTCCATTCCTTCCTAAGTGACCACATGGACTTCTGGGGTCGAGTGAAGAATTTTCTGATGCTCTTTGATTTTTCCATAAGCCAATGGCAAATCCAGTCTGTGTATGACAACACCATCAGAGAGCATTTCCCAGAAGGCTCTAGGCCAGTTTTGTCTCATCTCCTAAAGAAAGCAGAGCTGTGGTTTGTTAACTCTGACTTTGCCCTTGAATTTGCTCGGCCCCTGCTTCCCAACACTGTGTATGTTGGAGGCTTAATGGCCAGAGCTGTTAAACAAGTGCCACAAGTAAGTGATTAGTACTCAATATGGACTTCATGCAGAGCTCTGCAGTGCAGAGTTGGTGGCTCCCATGCCAGTGGGAACTGGGACAGAGTAGGGTGAGGCAAGTGCACCTAAGACATGGTTTTTAAGGAAGACTCACTTTCAGGGTCATGCAATTATAGTGTTAGGACTGAATAACCCTGAGATTGAGGACCTCCTTACGTAGTATACCCGGGATCCTCTTCAGTTCTGGCGCTGGTGGGATAAGCTTTTCTTTTTTTTTTTTTTTCAGTAATCTCTAAACCCCACAAGGGGCTCAAACTCACAACACGAAGGTTGAGAGTTGCATGCTCTTTCCACGGAGCCATCCAGGTGCCCTGGGATAAGGCTTTTAATAAGTTAATATTTTCATGTGCATTTTGTATGATCATATGTATAGTAACTGTGGGGCAAGCATCCATTACGTGTGAGAATTGTTAAAGAGATGAGTTAGTCACAATGAAACACACAATACTATGTAACCAAGGTGGGACTGTGTGGGACTGACAGTAAGAACTGTGGACATCATCACCAGCATCCCCAGCCTGTAGAGCCCTAGTTCCTGATTCCACATAGACCTTCTGATTTGATTGATCTGGGGTCAGTCCTGGGCATTGTAAATTGTGAAAGCTGCCGAGCTGGTTTGAAGGCATAAACTCAGAACTCCTGCAGTAGAAGTTTTTAAAGGGAGGGGAGCTAAGATGAGTTGGCTTCCTGTTGCCTATCAGCACTGGGTTGCCATTTTATGGAATTTATCTTATTTAATATCTTGCCACCTGGAGGGAAGTATGATGATCTCCATTTTTATAAACAAGGAGACAGGGACTTGGCATAAGTGACTTTCCCACTGCCATTCATTTCCGAGCGAGGGAGACTTGATTTGGCCTGGGTCTTCCAGGCCCCCAAGCGTCCACCCTTCATCGACTGACCTTAAAGTGAGTAAGCAGGGAGAGTTGGAGAATGATCCATGGGCTAGATGGGCTTTGAGTTGATGGCAGGATTTTATGGATGGAGCTAGGGAGGGAAGGAGTTCCAGTTGGAGAGAACAAATAGCTCAGAGTGTCAAAGTAAAAATAAGACAGGCATGACTCTGGGTTCCTTTGGTGACTCTAGCTAGACTGGACCAGAAGATTCAATTGCATAAATATAGCCAGGCCAGATTGCAGGAGACTTTACTTGATAAGAAGGTGGGTTATAGGCCTTCGTTATAGGGTAGGGGGAGGGGATTGTTAAGCAGGAGCATAATGGAAGTAAGGGTTGTAATGGCTGTGAGAAGAAGAGGCTTTTTTCAAAAAATTTTCTCTATATTTTCCAGTTTTTATGTAGTGTCTCATGTGGTTTTTTTAATTAAAAAGAACAACAAAGCTGTAGTCAAAGTGGTCCTTTGAGATGGTAAATCAAGCAGTGTTATGCTGGATGGAATCATTCCAGGGATGAGGGTCTAGAAGCTGGGGAAGGGGGGCTCCAGTAGTCCAGAGTCAGGGTCTGAAGAAATACTTGAAGCAAGAATTGACCAAAACTGTGTTAAAGCCAAGATTACAACATTAAATCCCAACCTTCCTTAAGTATTGCCTGAGGACTTTAAAAAATAAACTGCCCAAGTTTGGAGTTAGGACTGGGTACTACCATTTTTTATCTTCTTATGTGGATATAATTTGCCGTTGTGTGGGTGAGCCACTGAGGTAGAAGATAAATTACATAGATCAGTTAATAAGAATATCACAATGTATCAGAGCAAAGCATTGTACGTGGTACAGAGTGTGAGTAGTCAGGAGCCTTTCTCCATTTCTAATACTTATGCTAGAGGCCTTCTCCCAGCTTCTCCAATGTAGCCTCAGATGTAGCACCTCTCTCTGCTGGACCCTAACACCCCACCAGTATTCTTCCTATACTACCATTTTCTGGTGGCCTTGGAAAATTCCCAAGTGACCATGTCTCCACTGACCTACGATGAGCAGAGGGTCTAGGATGGCCCTGACATCAGGATTTTAAAGAAGAAAGATATTCCCACCAACACCATGGGCATAAGCACCATGCACAGGGTACTGAGCTGTGCCAGGGGCTATTTGCTCAGAGAAGGATAAGAGGGTGTGTTCAGTAAATATCTGGCTTTCATTTCATGGCTGTCTAGGCTTTCATGAACAAATTTGCTCACCTCCTTTTCCTTTCTTACCTTTCTCCAGGAATTTGAGAATTTTATCACCAAGTTTGGAGACTCTGGTTTTGTCCTTGTGGCCCTGGGCTCCATGGTGAGCAACTTTCAAGCCCAGGAACTTCTCAGGGAGATGAACAGTGCCTTTGCTCATCTCTCTCAGGGGGTTATATGGAAATATAAGCCTTCTCATTGGCCCAAAGACATCAGATTGTCAGCAAATGTGAAAATTGTGAACTGGCTTCCTCAGAATGATCTCCTGGGTAAGGACTGCCCAGGTCTGCTTCACCCTTGTCATTTACATATTTTTAGAACTCATCAGGCTCTGACCTCTAGTAGGGCAATCCCATTTGCACTAGAAGGAGCTGCTAATAGCTAAAGGTAAGTCTGCAGAAGGCAGGAACAGAGCAGCCAGCTGGAGTTCTTGGGGCATCAGACCCTACTTCTAATGAGATCAGTGCCCAAACAGCCATCTCCCCTTCACTGTTTTCTATCCCAGGCCAGATGTCGGCAGACATCAAAGTCACCTTGACCTACTGCATTTGGTCTTGAACAGGGTCACCCAAACACAATCTGAAACAACCTATGGATTCTAAAGAAAACATACCGGAAGGATGTTGCCACTGTATTTAGTGGTTCAAGAGTAACTGTTCATCACATGCACTTACATGTATATACATACACCTACTCCTCCCACAAACACATCTTTCTTAGTTATTAAGGTGGGAGCAATTCATAGCTTCACAGCACTGATGCCAATAGTGTCTTCAGGATGCGCCAAAATACCTGAGTGCCAAGATGAATAACCTCATAATCAGTTACTTGGTCCATTTTGTCTCTGGAACCAGAGTTCCCTCACCAACCCCCCCCCCCCCAATAGGTTTTCTTTGTGCCCAGTGCTGCTTTTTACAGACCACTTACTCCCATAGCCACTGACAGAATCAAAGGCTCATGATCAAGATAATGACTCAAAATAACCTGGGGAATTGTAGGAACAGATTCCTGGCTCCTCTTCTGCAAATTTAATTCTTTAAGTCTGGAGTGGGGCACATGGTGCTCCTTTCAAAGAAGAGACAAGGAGATTTTGATGTGCATCCCAGTTGAGTGACACAGGCTGAGACAAACTCTTCATTTTCAACAATAATCTTAGTTAGCTTTAAATAGGATGGGATGGAAATGCTGGAAATGGAAATACTCAAGTGTAGGGTCTAGTCTCTGCTTTCAAGGGGCTAATCATGTATTTGAGGAGAAAATGCATATAGTATAAATTTTATGATTGCCACATGAGTTACGATGCCAGTGAATGTGTCAGGAATTCAGAGAAGAGGGAAATAAGTTGGCAGGTGAGAAAAGAGTGCTCAAGACAAAGAGAAAGAGAGAGAGATAGAGACAGACACAATGAGAAAATAGAGATGAGCAAAACAAAGGGAGTGACTAGGATGTTAGAGAGAAAGATGGATGGATGGATGGAGAGAGATACGTGCCTTGCTTAGGAGTATTGTCTAGAGAGTCCCCGGAGTCTGAGTCTTAGCTGGGTTCTGGCTAGGGCAAGGAATTTTCATAAAAAGTCAAGGTTTGGAATCCTTTATGTTAGTAATATGCACCTTGGATATGTCCCAAGCAAAATATCTTTATAATGGCTCCAACAGACTTTGAAATTCCCTTGGCATTTTCTTCTACCCTTCCTGTTTTCCATGGTTTTCTGAAACTTTTCATTCTGAAATTTGTCATTCTGAAATATTCTGCTCTATTTCTTAATTGAAACAGCTCATCCACACATCCGTCTTTTTGTCACCCATGGTGGGATGAATAGCATAATGGAGGCCATCCAACATGGTGTACCCATGGTGGGGATTCCCCTTTTTGGAGACCAGCCTGCAAATCTGAACCATGTAGAAGGCAAAAAATTTGGTGTCTCTATCCAGCTAAAGCAGATCAAGGCAGAGACATTGGCTCTGAAGATGAAGCAAGTCATAGAAGACAAGAGGTATGAAGCTCTCTGGGCTTGTGGTCACTTAGACTGAATGAAGACATCCAACACAAAGGGCACTGTGTGCCACTTTTTTGCAATAAAAGCTGAAACATCCGAGACACGGAATAATATGTGGGTGATGCTTACAGATGATGTATTTCCTCTGAGAACAAGACTAGGCAATTTGGGTTAGATGTTGAAAACATTTCTGCCTTAAGTGTTGGGAGGACCCTGACCTACTTACACAGGGTCTCTGAGAGGTCTTATATTTTGGGGGTGCTTATAGTAGAATTCCAACTGAGTCAGGAGGTTGCCTTTCTGTCCCCCAATATGTCACAGTGTTTCCTGCCTCAGGCCTTTTGTCAGTGCTGCTCCCTAGAACCATCCTTCCCTTCTCTTCACAGTGCTGCCTCCTTCATGACAGTCAGAGTCATCTCCAATGTCCTCTCCTCAGAGGGGCAGGTGGTCTTTGTCTGACAGGCCTAAATGTGCTCTTCTCTCCCACCCTCTTCAATCATAATTCATTTTTCCTTCTTAACACTTCTCAGGATCAGTAACTAACCCAGTTTTTTTCTGTCTTAATTTATTGTGTGTCCCTCACACTAGAAAGTAGAGAGTTAGCTCCTCTGGACAGCCAAGTGTGTCTCTTGTTTTCCCTGGTGTTCCCAGGGCCTAGCACAGGGCCTGCTAAAGTAGGTTTGGATGAATTTCCGTTAAGTGAGGCAGTAAAAGGTCCTATGTTTTCTTAGGTAAATTCCCATCTAGTACAGTGATCTCATATGAAGAGAAAAATTTATTCTTTCTACCTTATAAATAAGAAGGACTGAATAACCTAAAGTTTCAAGGGCATAAACTGACTCAGAACTCAAGACTTATCATATTACCTTGCACAAAGGAGACCCAAATAAGTTCTTGTTAGATGACTGGAAGTCCCCACATAGCTTATGATTCTTAACCCTAGAAAAGTTGTAAGCTCCAGGGTCAGATAACCTCAGACATTTCATTATGTTTGGTATCTCATGAAGAGCAAATGGTCACTTTCTGAAGAATGAGTCTGTGAATTTCATTGGCTATTCAAAGACCTAGATCTGAAATGTCCATAATTTGCTAGCCCTATGATGGTGTCATTTGGGCTGGGATGGTCCCTACACATTGCACATCAGGGCTTGGTATATAATTTGTGGGGCCCAAAGTAAAATGGAAATGTGGAGCCCATTGTTATAAATTTTAAGAATTTCAAGAAAATGACAGCAGAGAATTAAAGCAAGCATAGGACCTGTCTAAGTATAGGGTCTTGTGCAAATGTGTGGGCTGCAGCCCATGAAGCCAGTGCTGGCCAGTATGATGCTCTGAAGAGGCAGAAAGTACAGGCCTTGTCCTGGGCCCCCGTCCCCAGAGTCATGTTTGACATCTAGCCCAGACACCAGCACAAAATAGCTGCTTATTATACATATAATTATTTATAGTATGTGATAAGCCTCCTTGGGTAGAGACTAGCCCTTATAAGACTTAGTCAGTTTTTATAGATTAGCACTTTTAGCGCTAGGCATGGATCTTTGCATGGAGGGACCAGGTTGAACTTTTCCATGGGACCCAGGTAGACTGTGGCAAAGCCAGGCCAACAACTTTTCCTTGAAACTGAGTCTTTTGTGCATATAGATGAAAGTGTGTGTGTGTGTGTGTGTGTGTGTGCGCATGTGTGATACGAGGTCTCTAAGACTTCTGAGAGCACATGAGTAACGCCCTGCCTCTGTCTCTGCCAACAGGTACAAGTCAGCAGCAGTGGCCGCCAGCATCATCAGGCGCTCCCACCCCCTGACCCCTGCTCAGAGGCTGGTGGGCTGGATCGACCACATCCTCCAGACAGGGGGCGCGGCACACCTCAAGCCCCACGGCCTGCAGCAGCCATGGCATGAGCAGTACCTGCTGGACGTCTTCTTGTTCCTGCTGCTGGTCACCCTGGGCACCCTGTGGCTCTGTGGGAAGCTGCTGGGCGTGGTGGCCAGGTGGCTGTGTGGGGCCAGGAAGCTGAAGAAGGCCTGATGGAGGTGCAGCCTTGACAGGTGTTTGGGGAGCCACTGGTTGTAGAAGGCTTTCCCCTAGCACAGAACACCCCTGGTGTCTTCCCTATATTGGCACTTGATGTGGCACACAAATTGTGAATTGTGTTTCACTATTTTCTGCCTCTGTTTAGAAATTCTTGTGAAGCGCTCTTGGGGGTCTTTCAAAAAAATTATGGTAATATACATTACATGAAATTGACCATTTTAGCCATTAAGTATAGAGTTTAGTGGCATTAAGTACATTCATATTGTGGTTTAAATAATACTACTATCCATCTCCAGAACTTTTCATCTTCCCAAACTAAAACTGCACTGATTAAATAATAACTCCCCATACCATGCGCCCACCCCTGACTCTTGGCAAATCCCTGTTCTACTTCTGTGTCTATGAATTTGATCTCAGGCTTCTTAACCCTCATCAGTGGACTCCTCACTGAGACTCAAACCTTCAGCAGACAGCCCCCATCTTCCTCCCCACTCCCTGTTTCTAGACACAACACCCTGCCTAGTCATCCTGTTGTTCTCTGAAAGGGAGGTATATGCAAAACTAACTTCAAAGGCCAAAGAAGCCATGAGACTGAAGAAAAAGGCAAACAGGTCCAGCTTGATGAGAAATGGTTTATTATAAACAATTATCATATGAACAGAAGCCTGTCTTGGGCTGCCACAAGATGAGTAGAGCTCCACAACACCATCTCCAGTTAGACCTGCTTTTATGGCCCTGAAGACTGGGCAGTACATACTGGGGGCTACCAGGAGGGGTCATATCCTGAGCAGATCAAGGAAGCTTTGCCTGGAGGGTATACTTAAGGGTGTGTTAAACAAAAGAAAAGAATGGAGGAAGGGGCTGTACTCAAGAAGGCTTTAGGCCACAGAGCAGTTATCGTGGTGGAATTTCTCAAGATGGCCTTAGTCTGGTTCATATACTTGCCATCTCAGAAACTTTTCAGTCTCTCTCCCTCTTTCTGCTTTTTTCACTTTTTATAATATGACATAAGATATTGGCCTGTTCTTCATTTTGGCCTTTTCTCTTGCACCTCATTTTCACCTCACCTCCAAGCTCAGGAAGCCTGGTCTCTGTCCTACAGTTAGCCAGGTGTGGCCTCTCAGGACTCCACCTGTGGTCTGTGTCCCGAGTCCCTCCTGTGAAGAGCACCCCTTTTGCTGCTTAGACATGGAGCCTGCCTTTGGGCCATAGCTCATGCTGTGGTTTTCACTTCCCACAATTCCCTTCTCGAGATTAACACTCTTAAAAATGTAGTCATGGAGACCTCAAGTACCTGGACCTCTGTGTGAGGCTCTGGGGCCTCAGGTCCAGTACTATGGCAGTTCCCAGGATTCTGTTGATTTAAAAAATCATTAATTTGCCACTATGACAGTAATACTTGAATCACGTAAGAAATATAAAAGATGATAAAATGAGAGAAATTTGATGAGAAATGGAATTTCAGTTTCAAAATGTCTCCCCACATCTTATTTCCTAATTATAGGGCAAAAAATAGCAACTTTACAGTGGAGAATATTGGTGAACACCACCTTAAACAAGGGATAGAGTTATCATCTCTAATGATAGGACCATCTGACATCATGTGCTTCCCATTGTGATTCACTGAGATGGAATCAACACCACCTTCGTAGTATTCCCACCAAACTCCCTAATAACCTGAAGTATAATGAGAAACATCAGGCAAACCCAACTTGGGGTCCATCATTCAAAATAAGCAGCTTGTACTCTTCAAAAAATATCAATGACATGAAAGACAAAGAAGGGCTGAGAACCAATCCTCACTATAGGAGATGAATAGACCTGATAACTCCATGCAGTGTGTGATCCTGGATGACTCCTGCACCAGCGAATTCATATCACAACAGAGGATATTAATCGGACAATTGGAGGGATTGAAATAAGGTTTGTAGATGAAGTAATGTGATTAGATTAATATTCAATGGTGCCTTCCCAATACAAATTATTTTTTTCATTGGGAAGATAGAATGCTTGAACAGATGATAATGGTGAATGTGTATGCATGTAATCACATGGCCTCAAGGACTACATAGGCCAAACTGAGAGAGAACTTGAAGGGAAATAATGGAATAATATTGAGAGAGTTTAAAAATCTTTCTAATGAATAATTTGAAACATAAGAATAGAACTTTTTGGTGCCCAACACCCAGTCCTAGTTGTGATGCCCATTCAGAATAATAGACTGACCTTTAGAGGTTCAGTGCTTCAGGTCAAGACCTGGCCCTCCAGCGGGGCTTAACACTTAGGGGACACTAACACTTATCACCAGTAAATTACTTTCCAAAGAAACTCTCTGAGCAATAAATGTAGGTAATTTTCCGTTGGGAATCAGTTTCTGAGATCTTGAGATTGGAACACTAGCAGAGATTTTAAGCAGGTACGTGGGGAAATGGGTAATGGGGATGGCAGTATGCATTCAACAGAGCAGTTAGGAGTGGGAAATTTTGGAAAAAAATCCCTAAAATAGAGACGGGTCTGAGTCACTTGGAAGTGGAACTATCTTGGAAGCGACTTCCTAAGGTCCCGAAATTCCTGGTTCAGAGTATCTTCTCTGCGGAGAGTGTGGTGATTACAGCACAGAGAGGGGTTAAGGACAGCTCGCTAACCCCTCCTTCCCGCTGCCCCAGGTTAGGGAGGGTGAGAACAGAGTAGCCAGTGGTGGAAGCACCCTGGGAGGAGGAGCAAAGGGCGAGTAGCGACTGCAGAGCTGACCGGCAGGATCCACCTCTTAACCTCTTCCCAATCCTCCCGCCAGCGCATTTCCTCGGCTGCCAGCGCTGCACGTGTCCCAGGGCGCACAGGGCGCTGTGCGGGGCTCGGGGCTCAGGGCTGGGCTCCACACTGGTACGGGAGTGAACATGGCCAGACAGCGGGCACAGCTGCTAGCCGGCTTCCTTCTGCCGGGGTTCCTGCTCTCAGAAGCCGCCAAAATTCTGACTGTATCCTCACTGGGTGAGTGCTCGGCAGGAGAATCAGAGACAGCTGCATCCCAGGCACCTCAGCCCGGGCTCAGGCAGACAGCCTTGGGTCAGAGGGTCATTCCATGTGGTTTTCCAAACAGGGCTTGGGTCCCAGGCTATGGAGAAGAGGGTGTAGGTCAGGAGAAAAAACATTTCCTCTTTTTATCTGCTCTGGAGGGGCTTCCCATTGTGCATAGCTGGGGCCAGAATTTAGATCCAGTGCTGACCTGGAGATCTCGAGCCTCCTACTCCAGGGAAGGCAGGGACTTTCAGAGGTACAGCCTAAAAGTTATGGGGTGTGCAGTAGTTGCCAGTAGAAAGTGGAAGGTGAGGTCAACTTCAGGCCCCTGGAGGCCAAGGACGGGGGCTCCTGTAGGCAGCAGCACAAACTGGGAATGTCATTAATAGGACACCTGGAGAACTGACGGGGCCGAGGAGGGGGCCCCAGGACAATCAAGTTCTTGGGAATCCCCTCTCTCTTTCGCCCTTGCTGCTGGAGGGTTTTGAAGGACAGTGAAGCAGTTAATTCTGCGTGAAGTCGGGTTTATTTCCTTTACTCTTCCCCAAAGGGAACAGAAGGCACAGGAACATTTTCAGGCTAAGGAGGCATCATAGGATGGAGTTTCCCCAAGAAGTTTCTGGATCTATTGTGAAAGGATAGGGGGCTCCCAGGATCACTTTTAGATCCCTCTGAATCTGGGGATCCTAGAGCTGGAAAAACCACAGAGTTCATCTAATTGGGCAATAAGTGTAGGCGTCCCCCTTTTATTTCCTGATAGGTAACCTGAGGGTGAGGGAAAGGAGGGGCCTTTTGCAAGAGCACATCAGACCTCCCTGATGGACACACTCTGGACTTTACTCACTGTTTCTTACCTCAAACCTGTCCTTAAAAGTTAAAGTTAAAAGTTAAAAATTAAAAGTTGTTTAATTTCCCCAAATTCTACTCTTTACCATGGGGATTCCTAAAAATCAGTACTTAAAAAGCCTTGATTTCTATTTTAAATCTACTTTTTAATGATAGTTAGAAGTAACAGTAGAAAAAAAAAAAGCTTTCTCACCTCTTGAAAGCACATGTCCTCCAGACTCTGAGAGGGAGCAGGTGTGGCTAGAAGCCCTATCTCTGGCCCAGAATGCACTGGGCTCACCAAAACCCTCAGGAATGGCTGCCTCTGCAGGATGGCTTCTCCCCTGTTCCATTTCTTCCACGGGCTGAATGTGAGCCAGAGCAGACAGTCTGAGCGAGTAGGGGTTTGTGTTTTCCATAATCCGTGATATCTCAGTCAGCATAAGTATAGATATAAAAAACTTGAGTAATTTCCACAGATACACACCATTACTATAGTTCTACATCCCTCTCTGCTGACCCAATCATTGTGAGATCTTCATCTTCCAAATAACCCCCACTTCCCAATGTGGGTAAATTCTATTCCTTAACCCAACAATTCAAGAAAAATGCTCTGTGATATCACATGGTTTTAGACACTGGTGTGATAGAACCTGTACCTCCCCAGATGATCAAGCTTCTGTTTCCTTAGGATCCCAGGATTTTCCTAGGATGGGTGATGTCCAGTCTCTCTTGCATAAAGGATCCTGCAGTTCCACTCCTAGGGCCCACAGTTATCCAGAATGCCTTAATTTGGTATTCAGCAAGATGCAGACCCCAAATGAAGATCCTCCTGCCAAATATATTTGAATCTGAAGGATTTTGGCTCTGAAAAATGGCTCTAATCCCCTTCTGTTTCCGTGGCTCTTTCTTGGACTGATATTCATGTTCCCATGTTTCTGGCTTCCACATTAACATAAATTCCAGAGACGAGGATTCCAGAAATATCTCTGATTGATTTTCCCATAGAAACCCTTTATTCTCACATACATAGCACTGTGCCAAAATTTCCACTGAATAGTTACTTCTTTAGGACACAGTATCTTCATAAAGCCTGCCTAAATTGCAGCATGTACTGAGGATCAGGAACTCCTTCAGGCCTAAGCATAGAGAAGCTCATTGTGCTGGCACAGAGACCTTGAATTGCAAAAGGGAATCTTTTATGTAAGATTGCTACATGTCAAGATTTGGTCAGAAGGAATGTGGGTATCTGGTCTGGGGCTTATCCAAAAGAAACTCATTTTCTTCTACTGCCATCAACTCTCTGCTGCCTTACCCTAGATTTCCAAATCCCCAATATCAATTTCAGACTCTCTGTTCTCACCTTTACAAAAATGAAATTTTGTATTGTTTCTAGGTGGAAGCCATTATCTACTGGTGGACCGGGTTTCTCAGATTCTTCAAGATCATGGCCATAATGTCACCATACTTCTTTATGGAGGAGATTATGTAATCCCAAGTATGTTTTTTTATAATTATTATATTTCTCTATCCCAGGAAAAGATAGACAATATCTTTTGTATAGCACTGCTTAACACAAAATCTTTTTTAATCTAGTCATATTGAAAAGATGGAAAAAAAATGTGTGTATGTGTTTTAAGTTTTGGTATGTATTTTCATTTCCATTTGTCTTTAAGTATTTTATGATTTCCCTTGTGATTTCTTTTGATACATTGCTTATATAAAAGTTGTTTAATTTCTATTATTTACGAATTTTCTGGTTTTCCTTCTGTTGATTTCTAACTTAAACCTGTTGTGATCAGAAAAAATATGTTGTACGGTATCTATCTTTTAAAATCTATTGAGACTTACTTGTGGCTTAACACATGGTCTCTGCTGGAAAATGTCCCATGTACCCTTGAGAAGAATCTGTTTGCTGTTGTTACTGGGTAGAGTGTTTTGTATGTCTGTTACATCTAGTGGATTAATGTGTTTAAGTCTTCTATTTCCTTGCTGATCTTCTTTCTGGTTATTTTACCCATTATTTAGAATGGAGCATGAAATCTCCAATGATTATTATAGAACTATTTCTCCTTCAATTCTGTCAGTTTTTACTTTAGACATTTTGATGGTATCTTATTAGTTGCATATATGTTTATAATTGTTATATCATCTTGCTGTATTGAACCTTTTATTAATATGTACTGTTTTTCTTTGTCTCTTATAATCTTTTTTGATTTAAAATCTGTTGTGTTTGATATTTGCTTATCTGCTTCTGCTTTCTTTTGGTTATTACTTTCATGGAATATCTTTTTCCATCATTTCCCTTTCAGTCTATCTGTGTCATTGGATCTAAAGTGAGTCTCTTGTAGACAGAATATAGTTGGATTATGCTTTTCTTTGTGTGTTTGTGGCCTTTTTATTTTTTTAATACATTTCATTTTGGAATAATTTTAGGTTCACAGAAAAGTTGTAAAGATAGTATGGGAAGTTCCCATACACCCCACACCTTCTTGCCCCCATTGTTAATCCCATTTTATTTTTAATTTTTTTAATTATTATTCTTTATTGAAGTATAGTGACACACAGTGTTACATTAGTTTCAGGTGTACAACATAGTGATTTCACAACTGTGTATGTTATGCTGTGCTCACAAGTGTAGCCACGATCTGTCACCATACAGAGATATTACAATTGGATCATGTGTTTTTATCCATTCTGATAGTCTCTGTATTTTGATGGGAGAGTTTAATCCATGTACATTTAATGTAATTACTGATAAGGAGAGACTTACTTCTGTCCTTTTGCTATTTGTTTGCTATATGCTTTATAGCTTCTTTGTCCCTCACTTTCTGTATCACTGTTTCTTTTGTGTTTAGTTGATTCCTTACAAAACACTAAATTATTTTCTCATTCTCTTTTGTATATATTCCACAGCTATTTTATGTGTGTGGTTACAATGGGGATTTCATTTAACCTTCTAAATCTATGACACTCAGATTTTAATTTATACCAGCTTAATAACATTCAAACATGCTGCTCCTATATGCCTTCAACCCCCACCTTTTTGGTTAGTTGATGTCACAGAATTACATTTTTATACATTGTGTGCCCCCAAATATAATCTATCATTAATTTAAATATATTAGTATCTTAAATTATGTAGAAAATTTGAATGAAGTTACTTACAAATAAAGTACAAATAATGGTAGTAGTTTTTAAACTAATAATTTTTTTAATGTACTAGTCACTTAAATCATGTAGAAAACAAAAAGGTAGTTATAAGCCATTGTTACAATAACAGTAGCTTTTATAATTGCCCATTCATTTACCTTTTATTTCTTCATACACCTTTGAGTTACTCTCTGGTGTTCTTTCATTTTTCCCTGGAGAACTTCCTTGAGTATTTCTCCCAGGGCAGGTCTAGTGATAACAAACTCCCTTAGTTTTGTTTTATCTTGGATTGTCTCAATTCTCCTTGACTTTTGATAGGCAGTTTTGCTGGATATAAGATTTTTTTGTTGATTGTTCTTTTCTTTTAGCATTTTTTTTAAAAAGATGTTATTTATTTATTTGAGAGAGAGAGAGGGAGAGTGTGAGTGGGGGGAGGAGCAGAGGGAGAGGAGGTGGTAGAGAATCTCAGACTCCCCACTGTGCATGGAGCCCGACACAGGTCTCCATCTCACAACCCTGAGATCATGACCTTAGCTGAAACTAAGAGTTGAATGATTAATCCACTGAGCCACCCAGGTGCCCCTTCTTTTAGCATTTTGAATATTGGGCCACTGCCTTCTGGACTCCGATTTATTTATTTATTTTTTGGCCTCAAAAGTTTCTGATTAGAAATCTATTGATAATCTCATTGACAAACACTTGTATGTGATGAGTCAGTTTTCTCTTGCTGCTTTTAATATTCTCTATTTATCTTTCTAAATTTTGATTATAATGTGTCCTGATGTGAATATCTGAGTTCATTTTCCTTGGAGTTGAGCTTCCTGGATGCTTATACTCCTATCTTTCATCCATTTGGGAGGTCTTCAGCCATTATTACTTAACATGTTCTCTCTATCCCTTTCTTTCTCTCTTTTCCTTGTGAGCATCCACAATGCATATGTTGGTCCCTTAGGCTGTGTTCTTTTCTTCAATCTTTTAACTTTCTGTTCTTCACACTTGATCATTTCCATTGTCTTATCTTTAAGTTCATGGATTATTTCTTCCATTTGCTCAAACCTGCGTTTGAATCCCTCCAGTGAAATTTTCATTTCATTTATTGCATTTTTCAGTTCTAGATTTTGTTTCTGGTTTCTTTTTAGATTTTCTATGCCTTTATTGACATTTCTATTTTGCATACACTTTTTCCTTGACCTTCTCCACATCTTCCTTTAGTTCTCTGAGGACCTTTAAGGCAGTTATTTTAAAGTCATCGTCTAGTATGTCTGCCATCAGGTCTTTCTCAGGGACAGTTTCTGTTGATTTATTTTTTTTTCCCTCTGAATAAGCCTGAGTTTTCTGTTTCTTGGTGTGTCTTGTAATTTTTGTTGAAAACTGTCCATTTGAATCTGACAATGTGCTATATCTGGAGGTGAGACGCCTCCTTTCTCTAGGGTTTGCAGATTTTTGTTATTAATTTTGTTCATTTTTTTACAATTGTTCTAGGCTGCCTTTGTGGTAAGGATCAATGTGAGGTATAAACTTCAGTATTCTTAAGTCTTTTCTGAGCCTTTCCTGGGCATGAAAGGACATTTTCTAATTTTCCTGGTATATGTAGTTGTTTTACAATGTTCCAGTCTTTAATGTTTCCCTCCCAAAAGGAGAAAATGAGAAAAATGAGGGGAAAAGGGGGACATCAGTCTTTTTAGACCCCTTGAAATCCATTCAGCCAGAGGGATATGCTTGCAACAATAAGTGTGATGCAAAAATGTTGCTGCTGACTTCTTTGTCTGTACGTCTGTGCTCAGAAGCAGCAATCAGCAATCAGAGCTCAGATATTTGATATTTGAAGAAGGTCATTTTTGCCCACTCAGGCTCTTGAAACCTGTGTACAAGCTGCTATATGAACACATTTATACAGCTTTCTTCTTAGACACTGAGGGGTGGGGGATGGGTAGTTGCTACTGTGAAAAGAGCTGAGATTGACTGAAATTATCTGCAATTTACAGTTAAAGACTTCCCTTGGTAGTTGTAAACCATCAATTGACTGCAGAGTTCCCAAACAGTTATTTCAGACAAATTCTGTCAATGGAATTGTTGTCTAGGTCAGGGGACAGATTCTGGTACTCCACCATCGTAGCAGAAACTCCCCCACTGCCTTTTGACCTATTATTTCTTTTCAGAATTTTATATATATTGATATAGTTGAATATATATGTGAATATATACACACACACATATATGTATATATAATACAATTTTCATGTAAATACATTTCATACATATAAAAATTTTTCACCAGTTCCTCTTTTGAAAGTAGATCCAAGAAAGCTCCTTATACTCTCATGCTGGAAGTGGAACTGTAATAGGTGTTTGACAGTGTTAGGGGTGGAAAGACCTTCAGCTGACAAGTAATTCTGCCCAAGAATTCAATTGAGGTGCCATGGCTTGTGCTTTGTGTAGGGCAGCAACACATCCCTCTTGTGAGCTCCTGGGTGAACGTTTGTGTCCTGAGTGCATGTGCTGGACAAATCTCTGCAAAAGGAGATTGTCCTCAATGCAATGTCATACATGTGCTTCTGGAGAAAGTTGAATGTGGTTAAGATCTTGCCAGCAAAGCTTGTGAGCAAGGCTATTGAGACAGTCCATGAGAAACCAGTTACAAATGGTTTGTATCCTGCCAAGAGGAAGGTGAAGAGACACTGCAGCTGAGAGCTTATTGAAATAGGAAATGAACAGAACATATTCCCAAATCTATGCTTGCAGAGTATCTATTAGTACTTAGATATAGTCAGCAATTTCAGTAACATTGGAAATGGTAGCCCTAATATGATGACATTGGCAGTCAAGTTATAGCAGTCCATTGAGAGGCACCATTCATTCAGGTTTAAGAATAGTCTAAATTAGGCTATTAAATGGAGAACCAGTGGGATAATCACTCCTTTGTTAATAGATTCTTTTTAATGGGATTTAATCCTTTAGGGCACTCTATTAAAATATATTTGATTGTATTAACAGTTTAAATTTATGTGGCAGATCCAATGAATCCTTTTTTGTCATGCTGTTAGTACTAAAACCTTAATTTTATTTTATGACTTGTTACATAAGAGCAACCATTGCTACTATGAAATAACTTAACCAATGGCTCTTATGACTATGAGACATTTAATCCCAGTAGTTAAGACAGGGCATGCACAATTGTCCTCTATCTAATATTTTGTTACTCTTAAGAGTACAAATGTACTTCGACAAATTTGGTGAGCGTTTATGATATATCTGTTACTTCCCCCCAGTATTGACCAAGATGATTAAGGTTTGTTTTTGGTGCATCCCATCCGATGTTTAAAGTAATTTAGAACCTCTGATGTAAAGTCACAAAAGCCAGTCTGTGTCATTTCTCTGTAATAATTTCTTTTTTTAAGTAATGTTAGATTCTACATATGTTAAAACTGAGAACTCTGTTTTAATTTCTTTCCTGACTCTTCCATCCTGCAATTTCCCATTTTTTTGCCATTCCTTTGGTTGTCATTAAATATATTTTGGGGGCAGGTGTCCCTTCTAACCTGCTCATATTTACGTTTCTTCCTTAGAATGTCCCAATTAGTATCATCAAGGCTAGGGGCCTCCCTAGTGGTGATTTTGAAAGACCTGAGATTGAGTTTGAATGAACTCTTTGAATTAACTCCATGGGGGTGTCATCAATGTTTTTCCTCATTACTGTGTTAATCAAGTTTTCTTTTAGCTACAGAGCTATAATCAGCAGCAGTAGCAAAGGCATTTTCTGGGGTTCTAGTGTGCCTTCTACTTTTACAGGTATGAATATCATCATATGATATAGTGACTATTCTTCCACCATTCTGTGGGCTTGTAAACTGGTATCAGTCTTACCCAGAGCACTGTTTATAATGGGGGCAGTCCTTGAGACACACAGCCATTGGTCACAGGGTTCTACCTAGGCTAGTGTCAATCACGGCTCATGCTGGGATCCAGAGCACAATCCAAGCTGACACAGAAAATAGGTTTGTGTGAGACACGTGACCAGGGCCACTGAAAGGCTAAACCCATACTTCTGTCTCTAAATGCCAATTATGGAAGCTTCTGAGTAGAGTGGAGGTGAGGATTCCCCTACTTGGGTCTGGCTTGCTTGGCTTGAAACTCTTGCTCACAAAAAGGATGGCATGTTGAGGCTTTCTTCTGTGTTTGCCAAGATACGTCACAGAAGGTTAAGGGGGAGATGGAGCTTGCTAAGCTGTCATCAGTCCAACCTCAAAAATGGTGTCAGACTCTATTACACCTGAGTTATTGGGGAAATGCCAGGATGTGAAGTAGGGCTGCAGAGGACTACTATTTTTAACTTAGCTTTTGGCATATTTTTGGCAGAATGAAAAACCTTTGCATGTATCTCTTTTAAGTAACAAAAATGAAGTTTTTTTTCCCTAAGAGACAAAGGACTGGGGAACTGGGGTAAAATGAGATCTCTATTTAAATGCAAAGTGTACTGTTTACTATATGTGCAACCTTGACAAATTACCTGACACTCCATTTATCTTTGTTTTCTCACCCGTAAAATGAAGAATCTCTATGCCTTTACCTGAAGGCTTTAAATTGAATAAAAATAACTGAATTATCATAAGGTTCTCAGTAAAATTATCAGATCCTATGATTGAAGAAATGAAAAAGCAAGCAAAAAAACCCCTCTAAAAGCAAACATTCAAATATATATAAAATTATTGGAATAAAAAAAAACTATGGTATCATCATGCTAATATTAATCTGGGTTGTATGACATAATTACATATTTTTATTGGTGTTTTAAATTTTCTTTTATTTAGAAAAGAAGGAAAATACATACCAAGTTATCACTTGGCTTCTATCTGAGGAACATGAAAAACAATTAAAGAACTATTTTGATTTCTTTATGACAGAAGTTTTGCATGGCAGGTAATTTCTTTTATTCTCTGAATGAAAGACTTACCATTTTAGTGACACAAATAAATGGTTGGATGCATGGATACTTGGAATGAATTTTAGAAAAGTGGATGAGTAGATGGATGGGGAGATCAATGATGGGCGGCAGTGGATGGATGGAGTGGATGAGTTTTTGTCATTACCTGGGATGTATTGAAAGATCTTCATCTTTTTTTTTTTTAAGATTTTATTTATTTATTTGACAGAGAGAGAGAGGCACAAGCAGGGGGAATGGCAGGCAGAGGGAAAGGGAGAAGTAGGCTCCCCACAGAGCAGGGGGAGCTCGATGTGGGACTTGATCCCAGGACCCTTGGATCATGACCTGAGCCGAAGGCAGTCATTTAACCAACTGAGCCACCCAGGTGCCCTCAAAGATCTTCAGCTTTGACATAAGAGAGAGAAGACATATTCATGCCTTGCTTGGTTAATTATACAGGCCTAACCCACCTCCCTTTTTTCCTTAAAAATTTTATTCAGTCATCAAGGTGGCCTTAAAATCTGGCTTTTTACATAAAGCCTTTCTCCTTACCTAAACTGGACGACAAAATTCTCTTGTCTATGAGATCTTACCTAAAATACTCATTTTAAACTTTGTCTATATCATCTTGTGATTGTTATTCAATTTTTTAAAGTATATGTCTTGTCTCTTTTCCCTCACTATTTCTTTGAAGATTGGTTGTACACACATGTTAAATCTGGTGCAATATACTGAGAACAGTACCTTCCTGTACTGTGTTCAATTTATTAACTTAATTTCAAATATTATTAATGCTCTACTTTTGAGGAATTTGTACTTCTTATCTTGATTTTATCCACAATATGTAGCAGTCATTCATTATGTAAAATCATTTAAAAATATAATAGAGGATCACTTCAGCTAGTCATCTGTTGTCACTTAACATCAATTCTAAAGCACTCATGGGCATCTGCATATTGCTAAGGAGCTCTCACCTGTGGGTCTTTTTTAAGTGGGCTGATATGGTGTAGTGTTGTATAGGTTACAGGTTGGCTGGGCCATTGATTCTCTCAGTCCTTCATTCAAGTAGGAGGCCCATGGGTCTCCAAAACACCTGCACCTATAACCTCTGGTCCAGAGCATTCTCATCTATTGCCCATATGTTGTGCAAAAAGGATCATTTTCTTTGCAGGCACTGATGGGAAAATATTAAAGGAGAATAGTGCCATAGACAGTGTCTTAATTAGGTATCAATAAAATGTTAGCATTACTTCTTTAAATACTCTAGGAAGCATGAAATGGAAAGGTTAATAATAAGCTTCAAGCAGACTTGTATTTTTCTTTTAAATTTTTACCTCATAGGCTAGAAAGATGTACATCTCGTGTTCAGCTTAGAATTTGGGTTCTAATTTTTAACCACCAAAAAGTTCCTTGTATGAGGCAATTTGTCAAATGTAGACTGTACAAAATTTAAAGAACAAAACATGTCTATATTATCAATATTGGTGGACTCTGCTACTGAGTTACTTCCCCAGGTAGGTTGAGAAAGAAAAGTCACTCATAAAAAGTCAGTATACAGAAAAAAGTTAATAGAATGTGTCAAGTAGACAAGGAACAATGAGGTCTGCTACAGTGAGAGATGGCTCCCAAAGTGGAAGGCTCTTGAGTTGGCATGGATCATGGGTGGATACGATTGGCTGGTGAAAGGGGAGGGGAGGAAGTGAGAACATTTTAGGAAGCAGAAATATCCAGGGCAGAATGACCAGAGCAGAGTTATTCTTTGGACACTGGTAAAATAGGTGGGCTGATGCTAGATATGGTCTTACTTACCTGCAATATTTTTTTGTAGCCTATAATTCCTTTATGTACTGTGAAATTAACACCTCCAGTGAATGTTTGCCCTTACATTTTTTTTTTTCTTTCAGAGGAGCATTTGACAACTTTGTAAAGTTAATGGAACAATTGGGGATTCAGTGCAGTGATTTGCTAAGAAGTGATATCATGGATTCTTTAAAAAATGAGAATTTTGACTTGGTATTTGTTGAAGCATTTGACTTCTGTTCTTTCCTGGTTGCTGAGAAGCTTGGGAAGCCATTTGTGTCAATTCTTCCCACTCCCTTTGGCAGTGTGGACCTTGGACAACCTAACCCTGTGTCTTATGTTCCAGTATTCAATTCCTTGCTAACCGACCACATGGACTTCTGGGGCAGAGTGAAGAATTTTCTGATGCTCTTTGATTTCTCCATGAAGCAATGGCGAATCCAGTCTACATTTGACAGCACCATTAAGGAACATTTCCCAGAAGGTTCTAGGCCAGTTTTGTCTCATCTTCTAAAGAAAGCAGAGCTGTGGTTTGTTAACTCTGACTTTGCCCTTGAATTTGCTCGGCCCCTGCTTCCCAACACTGTGTATGTTGGAGGCTTAATGTCCAGACCTGTTAAACCAGTATCACAGGTAAGTAAAACTTTAGCTCTCAATATGGACTCCATGCAGAGCTCTTTAGTGCAGACAGAACCTGTGGCTTCCCTGGCAGAGGGAACTGGGATTAAAGTAGGGTGAGACAAACAAAACACCTAGAATATACATTTTTATTTTATTTTATTTTTAATTTGCTATTCTATTTTTTCTATTCTATTTAAAATTTTAATTGTTTTCATAAAAACACTTAATATGAGATCTGCCCTCTTAACAAGTTTTTGAAAGTACAATATGAATTATTGACTGTAGGTACCATGTTGTGCCTCAGATCTCTATATCTTACTCATCTCACTTAACTTTAGAACTCTTCCTCTCCATGGAATAGTGACTATCTGTTATCCCTTTCCCCCAACCCCTGGAAACCAACTCCCACTTTTGATTCTATGACCTTGATTATTTTAGATGCTTCATATAAGTGAAATCCTGCAATACTTGCTTTTCTGTGATTGGCTTATGTCATTTAGCATAATGTCCTCAGGGTTCATTCATGTTTTCACATACTGCAAAATTTCCTTTTTAAAGGCTAAATAGTATTGCATTATGTAGTATATATATGTACAATATATATATACACACCATGTATATATTGTATATATACGTACCATACATATATATACACAGTATATATAGTATATACACAATATAATATTTATACAATATATTCAATATATACAATATATATACAACATATATATACACGCCATATATATATACACAATAAATATATATTCAATATACAATAAATACAATATGTGTACTATATATAATACTATATACTATATATAGTATATATATACTGTATATATACACACATACATATACAATACATATATATACACACACACAATGCAATACTATTTAGCTTTTAAAAAGAAGGAAATTTTGCAATATGTGAAAAAATGAATGAGCCCTGAGGACATTATATATATTGTGTGTGTATATATATGTGTGTGTGTGTGTGTGTGTGTGTGTGGTGTATATATATATGTGTGTGTGTGCATATATATTGTATATGGTGTGTGTATATATATCTCAATGAATATTGGTACATATCAATATACAATATATACAATATATAATACATATATACATATATATACAATATATATACACACAGCATATATATATATATACACACACACACACAATATGGTGGGTTTATATATATTGTATATATATGGTGTGTATATATATATTGTATATGGTGGGTATATATATATTGTATATGGTGTGTGTATATATATCTTAGTAAATATGTGTGTGTGTATATCTTAATAAATATTGATATATATATCAATATACAATATATAATATACATATACATATATATACAATATATATAAACACACCATATATATATACACACACACACACACAAAATGATAGGTGTATATATATTGTATATATATGATGTGTATATATATACTGTATATGGTGTATGTATATATATATCAATATATAGTGTGTATCTATATCTATATATCTATATATATACATACACACACCATATTTTCTTTAACCTTTCATCTTTTGATGGACATTTAGGTTTTTTCAACATCGTAGCTATTTTGAATAGTGCGTCAGTGGACATGGGAATACAGATATCTCTCTGAGATTCTGATTTTCATTCTCATGTGTATATACACAGAAATGGGATTGCTGGATCATATGCCCATTCTATGTTTTTTGGCCAGGGAGGGGTGGGGGCATCTATATGGCTGCAGCATTTTGCATTCCCAACAACAGTATGTAAGGACTGTAATTGCTCCATATCCTCAACATTTGTCTTCTATTTTTTGATAATAACCATACTGACAGGTGTGAAGTGATATCTCATTGTGGTTTTGATTTGCATTTCCCTGATGACTAGTGTTGCTGAGCATTTTTTCATATTTTTGCCATTTGTATGTTGTCTTTGGATAAATGTCTATTCAAGTTCTTAGCCTATTTTTTAATGGAGTTATAAGATTTTTTTTTTTCTATTGAGTTGTAGGCCTTTTCAATACATTTTAGAGACTAATCTCCTATCAGGAATATGGTTTGCCTATATTTTCCATTTGTAAATTGTCTCTTTACTCTGTTGACTGTTTCTTTTGCTGTGCAGAAACTTTTTAGTTTAATATAATCCCACTTGTGTTTGTTTGTTTTTTGAATTTATTTTGTTCCTGTTGCCTGTGCATTGGGTGTTTTATCATTGAAATCATTGCCAAGATCAATACCAAGGTTTTTGCCCTGTTTTCTTCTATGAGCTTCACAGTTTCAGGTCTAATATTTAAATCTTTAATCCATTTTGAGTTTTTGCATGGTGTAAGGTGAGGATCCAATTTTATTCTTGTTCATGTGGATATCCACATGCTTGGGGTAGGGATTCTGGTGAGAGGGTGTTTTCATAACTATCTCCCGGCTTTGGTGAGACTGGTTACACATTTGGCTGGGGTGAAGTACCCTTTCATTTAGTCTCTGGATTTCTTACAAGGGGAATTTGACCATGAAACATTGCCGAATTGGTGTGTTTTTAGGGGGAAGGAGTGTCCAGAGTTTCCTGCTCTGCCATCTTGCTGATCCCAGGGCCCACTTTTAAGGAAGCCCTTCCTGTAAGGGTCATGGAAGTACTGTTAGGTCCTACATGATCCTGTTACTGAAAACCTCCTTGAGGAACAGCCCTAAGCTCTTCCTATGCCTTACCTGAGTCCTAGCCTTGCTGGTAAAAATGCTTCACTATGTTGATATTTTCATTTTCATTTTTAATGATCACATGTACAATAATTATGAAGTGAGAGGCTACCACATGAAAGGATTTTAAGGAGATTGGTTATCCATGATGAAATATAAAAAAAGAGAGACATAGTGTAATGACCAGGACTGGGTGCGACTGATAGCAAGACCTGCAGGCATCATCTCCGATGGCTCCTTCCTGTAGAGCTCCCATTCCTAACTCAGTCTAGATTTTCTGATTTGATTGGTCTGGGATTAGGTCTAGGTACTGTAAGTTTTAAATGCTACTCAGGTGGTCTGAATGCAGAGCCTGAACTCAGAACCACTGCTCTAGAAGTTATCAAAATGAAGTAGAGCTGAGATCAGTGGCTGCCTGTTGCCAGTAGGTACTGGGTTGCTATTGTATGGAAGTTATCTTAGATATTGTATATCATTGCCACCTTGAGGGAACTGTGATGGTCTCCAGTTTTATAAATGAGAGGACAGATGTTCAGGTGACGTACGTAATATTTCCAGTACCATTCAGCTCAGAGTAGCAAAAGCCTAGATCTGGCCTGGGCTTTCTGGGCACCAAAGTCTCTACCCTTCCCCTACTGACCTTGCATTGAGTAAACAGAAAGAGCTGGGGAATGATTCATGGGCAAAATGGACTTTGGTTCATGGTAGCATTTTTAAAGAAATGGAATTGAGGAGGAAGACACAGCAGGTTGAGAGAACAGGAGGTCCAATGTGTGGAGGTGTAAGTGAGGTGGCCATGAAGCTGGGTTCCCTCAGTGACACTGGCCAGACTAGAGTAGTGGAAGATTCAGTTGCAGAAATAAAACTAGGCCAAAACATAGGTTTTACCCGATGGGATGGTGGATCAGGTCTTGGAACTGAGACAGGAGTCCTTAAGGAGGAGTATAATGGAAGTTAGGGTGTGTAATCTGTGAGACAACAAATGCTTGTACAATTTTTCTTCTCTCCTTTCCCAATTTTTTTTTTTTGTGTGACCAAATATACATAGTATAAAACTTACCACTTTAACCATACTGAAGGGTACAGTTCAGGGGCATTAAGAACTTCCACACTGTTGTGCAACCATTACCACATCCATCTCCTGAACATTTTCCTCTTTCCAAACTGAAACTTCATACTCACTCAACAGTGACTCCTCATTTCATCTCTGCCTCCAGATCCTGGCAACAATTATTCTCCTTTTGTCTGTATGAATTGACCATTCTAGGTACCTTATATACGTGGAATCATACCATATTTATTCTTCTGTGATGGCTTATTTCACTTTGCATAATGTCTTCAAGATTCAACCATGTTGTAGCATGTGTCTGAATTTCTTTCCTTTTTAGGTTGAGTAATATTTCATTGTATGTGTATACCACATTTGTTTATCTATTCATCTGTCCATAGATACTTGGATTACTTCTAATTTTGGCTATTGTGAATCATGCTGCTATATTCATGAACAGTAGTGTACAAATATTTGTTCGAGTCCCTGCTTTTAATTCTTCTGGGGATATACTGAGAAATGGAATTTCTGGGTCATATGATAATCGTATATTTAATTTTTTGAGGAACTGCCATACAGTCTCTCACAGTGGTTGTCCCAATTTACATCTCCACCAACAAAGCATAAGAGTTCCAACTTCCCCATATCTTCACAAACACTTGTCATTTTCTGTTTTTGTGGGTTTTAAAAAATTTTATTAGCCATCCTAATGGGTGGGAAGTGGTGTCTTATTGTGGCTAGATTAGAATTTCCCGATTAGTGATGTTTACCATTTCATAAGCTTATTGGACATTTATATATCTTCTTTAGAGGACTATCTGTTTAAATCTTTGCCCATTTTTGAATCATATTTGTTTTTTGGGTAGAGTAGTTCTTTATACAATCTGGCTATCAATCCCTTATCAGATATATGACTTGCAAGTATTTCTCCCATTTCCTGGTTTGCCCTTTTCACTATGTTGATAGTGTCCTCTGAGTCACAGTTTTTCTTTTTGATGAAATCCAATTTAACTGCTTTTTATTTTATTGCCTATGCTGTTGGTGTTTTATCTAAGAAATCACTGCGAAATATAATGACATGAAGATTTCTCTCTCTATTTTCTTCTAAGAGTTTTATCCTATTAGCTCATTTCTTTAGATATTCAGTCTATTGTAAGTTGATTTAGTATATGGCATAATGTAATGGTTCAATTTCAGTCTTTTGCATGTGGATATCCAGTTTTCCAATGCCATTTGCTGAAAAGACTGTCTTTTA